AGAATACAAAGTTAAAAAATAGAATTTAATAGATGTAAAACAATGTTGCTACACACTCATGAACAGTAGGTGGCGATCCGCCATGATAGAAAAGAGGAAGAAGAAGAAGAACCCGCAGGAATCCCAAGAAGAAGAAACAGCAGTATCGGCAGGTTTGGATCAGGCATGGGTTCGGCTGGCTGGACGGTCGGAGGAGGTTCTGGCTCGGTTCCGGGCGCATGAGCTCGGTTCGGGTCCAGTTCGGCTGGTATTTGTTGGAATGTTTTGTTCTGATTGTTGGACTCAGAGACGGACCGCCAGCAGGATGCTAACTGCTAGCTGCAGCAGCGGGGTGGACCGGGCCATGCGGCCGGAGGAACCGCGTCCTTTTATGGACCGGAACCAGCGAACCCTGCTGCTAGAACGCTTCTAGACAGGAGGCACTCTGATAGATCTACATCTATGAGATGAGGAGACAGCGGTCCATTTGGACCACAGGACTGGTTCTGCCGAAGGTGAAGCCCTGCATGGCTAACCAGCTGGAGCGCCCCCTGGAGGCTAGCCGGGTTAAGGTTAGCTCTAACCCTAACCGCCCCCTGGAGCCACCAAGGAGCAGCTGTGAGGTCATCAGCGTTGTCATGGTAACTATAACCATCCAGCGAAGTTCTGCTGCTTCAGCTCCAATCAGAAGCATCAGCCAATGGGAGCACAGCTCCAGCAACCCGCTGACTCTGATTGCAGGAGATGGGAGCCAATCAGAAGAGGGTCCAGGTGGAATGACATCATCATATCACAGGTGAACTACACGATAGACCGGACCGAGCCCCAGAGCAGTACCTGGGGGTCAGACCCACCTGGATATGATGCAATAAAAGGCCGACTGAAGCTCCGCCCCCAGCAGTCTGTTCACAGAGGCGGGGCCGTGACATAAACGGACCGAAGCGTGTTCTGATCCAGGCGGGTCGCCCCAGAACCTCACCCTCCTCTGACCCGGATGTTCTCTGTTCCTTAGGTGGTTCTGCTGCAGACGCTTCGCCCACAGAGGGCAGCGGGTGAGTGATGTCACGGTGTGGGCGGGGCCTGCTGGGAGATGATGTGAACAAAAGGCCGAATTGTAGCGCCCCCCTCAGGCAGCTTGTTCTCAGCGCGGGGCGCCATGACAAACACGGACCGAAGCGTTCATCTGATCCCGCCTCCAGTCCGGTTCTGGAGGTCTGCTGGGTCCAGAACCAGGACCGGGTGGTGCGGGGATCCAGACCTCCAGAACCGGACTCGGTCAGAACCAGTCAGCAGGGGGCGCCCCAGTCAGGGCCTCCTGCTGACTGGTTCTGACCCGGTTCTGGTCAGAACCAGAACATCAGGCTTTGATTCCATGAAAGCAGGGGATTTCTGTTTGGTTCTGGTTCCGGGCCTTAAACGGCGCCACCTGTTGGTTCTGTTGGACCTCATTCCTCAGAACCACCCCTGTAGAACCGGATGGAACCACTGGACCAGAACCTGGCACTCATTTGGACCTGCTGTTCTTCCAGATGTTCCGGTTCCGATGCTGCCGTCCATCCAGACTGCGGTTACCACGGCGATCTGAGGTAGTGGACCCTGAGGTTCTGGTTCTGGTCCAGACCCGCTCTCCAGGTTGGGTTCTGACCACGCTCTGCTCTCTCCGCAGGTTCCGGTTCTGACTGGTTCTCCTCTGCAGGTTGCCGTGGCGATGAGGAGGCGGGACATCCATCCTGTGGGTCGGTTCTGGAGAACCTCACACTGGAACCGGCTCCCTGTGGATCATTCAGAACCAGGCTGGGTTCTGACCCGCTTCAGTTCGTCTCCAGAACCGTGATCCGGGCCTCTCCAGAACCCATCACTGTAACCATGTCGTGTTCCGGACAGGAACCCAAACACCAGAACCAAAGAACCCATCCCTGGTTCTGTCAGCGGGTCCGGTTTGTTCTGGAGCGGTTCTGGGTGGGTTCTACTAGCTGTTTGTTTTCGGGTCGCTGTTTTCAGAACTTTAATAAAAACTCTGTTGATGAACTGGGTTCTGGTTCTGATCATTTGGGTTTCCAGGTTCTATGATGTCTCAGGTATGGTTCTGACCCGACCGGCTACCGGTACCGCTGGCACCAGTTAGTTTAGAATGGAACCCTTCTACAGGAATGGAGCCGGTTCTGATCCATTTGGACCTTTAGAATCAAAACAGCAGCTTTTTCAAATAATTTGGACCCAAAAGTTCTGATGAGTCTGTGACACTGCTGGTTCTGATCCAAACAGAACCTTTCTGGTGAAGATGGCCTCACTGGTTCTGCTGGGTCAGGTCTGGTTCTGCTGGTTCTGTTGGGTTGGGTCTGGTTCTGCTGGGTCGGGTCTGGTTCTGTTGGGTCGGGTCTGGTTCTATTGGGTCGGGTCTGGTTCTGCTGGGTCAGGTCTGGTTCTATTGGGTCGGGTCAGGTCTGGTTCTATTGGGTCTGGTCAGGTCTGGTTCTATTGGGTCGGGTCTGGTTCTGTTGGGTTGGGTCGGGTCTGGTTCTATTGGGTCGGGTCTGGTTCTGCTGGGTCGGGTCTGGTTCTGCTGGGTCGGGTCAGGTCTGGTTCTATTGGGTCGGGTCTGGTTCTATTGGGTCGGGTCTGGTTCTGCTGGGTCGGGTCTGGTTCTGTCTCATCCTCAGCCCCCCGGTGGTGGGGGTCGGGGTGACCCGGAAGTGCTCCAGAACCATCTCCGGACTCGGTTCTGGTTGATGATCGGAGCAGAGGATCGGTGCTGGACCCGGAGCGATGCAGACCGATCCGGATCCTCAGGTAAGCGGCGATCCGGAACCTCAGAACCGAACCCGGTCTGAGCTGCGCTGCGGAGCTAGCGGCTAGCGGCTCCACCAGACTCCGTTCAAAAAATGTCTAATTTAGCAGCCTGGGATTCATTGGGTTCTGGGTCCATTTCCATCCAGCGAGCCGCAGCTGCCGCAGCAGCAGCCCTTCACAGGTCCGGAGATAAACCAGAGGAGCTGCGCTGACCGAACCGGGTCACCAAACCGGGCCCCCAGCTCCAGTCTAGCTTTTAGAGACTAAAGCCTAAAACGGCCGAACTTTGTATGGAGTCTGGCGGAGGCTCCTGGCCCCTCAAAGAACCGGCATCTTGGTTCGGACCAGCGCGGTTCCGGGTCCACTGGGCCCCATCCGAACTGTGGCGGGTGGGTGGAACGTTAGTTGAAAACAGCAGGCGGTTCTGGGTTCAGTTCTGACGTCATCATGGTATTAATATGATGCGGTCTTTGATGTGGTTCCGACAGAGTGGGTCAGAACCCTGGGTGGGTGGACCGGTTCTGGACTAAGATCCAGATCTGGTTCTGGGTCCAGTGGACTCTGTGGTACCGGGATAAGCTGGGGGGGGGGAGGTCCATGTCCAGCTGTTTACTGGGGACAGGAGAGGAGTCCATCCTGGACAGAGAGGAGGGGGGTCCATCCTGGACAGGTCTCCAGTCCATCAGAGACAAACAGGACAAATAATCATTGGCTGCAGAAGGGGGGGGGCGCCTCCAGCAGCCTGGATTATAATCTGTGTTACTGTTAAAAATGGACGTTAGATTTTATTATTCTGATTAAATTCCAACCCTTAAAACACATCAATTAATCTGGATCATAGTGATGAGCAGCTTGAAGCAGCTGCACCAAATAACCTGTTTTATTGTCATTAAACGATTAGATGAATGAAGAATAAACTCTCAGAATAAAATAATCTGTCCTTTAATAAAGTTCTAGTGAAACCGGAATTTATTTTCACTATCCTGGTTTCTATCAATCAGCTCAGACTTTTGTTTTAAATAAGCTCTTATTTTGATAGGATGTAAATAGAAAGATTAAATGATCCCAGGCCGTACTTGTGCGTCCTGGTGAAACATCACCATCAGCCTGAGCACTGTTCCTATTCACTATGACAGCAGAGCAAAGTCCCTGCATGATGTTTGGTTTGGGACCATGTGGGATTTCAGGGTAACATGGCGTCCTGTGATGACCAGCCTGAGCTCTCTGCTCCTCATCTCTACGCTAGCAGCTGAGTGCACAGCATGCTAACGCCCTCCTTCTACCGTAATAACAGCTGTGTGTG